AGATAGTATTTTTAATAGACCAGAGTCATAAATTAATATCTGTGAATGTTTATAAAAGGGTATAATATATTAGCCATTATGGAATATTACATAAATAAACCTTAGATTTGTGAAATAAACATAAAATTATTTCACAGGAAAGAGAACCATTAAGGATTTCCAAGTTTTAATATTCTTGTTGCAAAAAATAGAGTCCCAGGAATGCTTATTTCTTTAGGATATTCCACTACCAAGCCAAGAACTTCAGCAAGTTGTTTGTTGCTTGCTTCCTGGTTTGCAATGTATACCAATCTGCACAGGTTACATTAAAAGGTCTCTTGCATGTGTTGGTTTTGGTCACCCACATGGAGCTATCAGAGATTTGTTTCATATTTTGCATCCTAGAGAACCAAAAGGAATTTTCTAATAAGAAGAAAACTATACAGACAATCACTTCTCAAGTGAGCGGCTCTCAGATCTGGATCACTCAATGCTTTCTGCATAATCAAGTGAATGTGATGTCTGATATCAGAGTTATTGCTTCTCACCCAAATTAGATAATGTGTCTCCTAGAGACTACATATTTTTGTTACATCCTTTTTCCTTGGACTTGATATATGCTAGAGAAAATCTGACCCTGAGCCATTCCCCATCAGAACCACAGTACTATCCATTTTCAAAGAATGATCTGCATATGAATTATGCCCCCTGTTCTGTGGTAGACTCCGTACTCCTGGGGAACTTGCTAGGGTTTGTGGCTGCGATACAGTGCTGTTTGCTGTGCTCCACTTGGACTGATCCAAAGTGGCCAAGGGAAGAGGTCCTTCCTGGCCAGTAGGGTCCACTTACCACCATTTGGTCTGCCACCAAGAGACCCATGCTGGGACTTATGCACAAATGCTATCTGTTCTTTGCACAGAGAGGGGTCAACCATGCAGATGACCCAAGCCTCCTTTGCCAAAAATGTATATTGTTCCCCCAGCTATGAGCTTATGAAACCCAACACGTAGCATGAAACAATAAAAATAGGTTTATTTTCATTTAACAGAGTTGTCTGCCAGACTGTGGTGGTAGTGGTTGTGATTGTGTTCCAGTTTTTCCAGTTTAATCATAGATTAAAGTTAACATTGACAGGGTTGGCCAAATAGCTTAGCAGATTAAAGCACCTGCTTAGGCAGACCAAGGGATTCATCCCCTGGTGTGCTGTGCTGGCCCCACCACCAGGGCACACTGAGACAGCAATGGACAGCAATTGAGACTGGGCATGGTAGCACATGCCTGTAATCCCAGCTCCTGGGAGGATGAACACAGGAGGATCACTATGAGTCTGACCCTATACGTAGTGAGACACTGTAGACCCTGTACTAAAATATATTTTTAAAAAGTCAAACATTGAGTATTTCATTTTTCCCAGAGGTTCAGCTTTCTGTAGCTGCCCTGAACCTCAAAAAGTAGTTTTGGTGGAAATGAAGGCTATGGCAAGTAGCACTTTCTCTCTGCGTAAGTACAGCTCAACAGGGTCTGGCTGTACAACCACAGGGTCCTAAGAAGCCTCTTGGCCAACTGGCTTCTGCTTAGTGCAGAGGTCAGAGCACAGGCCCAAATGCCTGCCCATTGTGCCACCAGCTCTGTGGCTGTGGGCAGGCTACTTAACATTTCTGTGGCTCAGACCCCCTTTCTGGAAAATGGAGACATAATAGCATCTTCCTGAGGGATGTTAAAGGTTAAATGTCTTAAAACATGCAGAGCCCTTTGAAAAGTGCCTGGCACACTCAAAGTGCTCAGAAAATTAGTGTTTTATCATCCCTACAATGTATGTCCTATCATGGACTGGCTATGGTATTTACCTGATATTCTTCTTTTAATTAACTTAATTTTGACCTAAAATTTAATTTGAAAGAAAAATTTGTATCTGTTTTCCAACTGTCAATGGAAAACCAGTACAATATGCTACAAATATAAGGTGGCCGTAAAACGGTAATCGCACATATTTACCGAGCCCTTGCTCCTTGCCAGGTACTGTGCTAAATGTCTTGATGTATTATAATCCTCAGAACTCATGAGGTCAGTACAATCACCATCCACCTTTCTTAGCTGAGAAAACCGAGCAGAGGGGCAAAGAAATTTCCCTCTAATTGCACAGCTAGTATCGTAATAGGTTTTCTTCTCCAGAATGTAGGTTTTTCCCCTCTGTTCTGTGCTGCTATCCCTATGAAAGCCAGAGCACTATTCTATTTGCCCACTGGGCTATGTTAGCTTCCTAGGGCTGCTATAATAAACTGCCACAAAGTAGGTAGCAGAAACAGAAACTGATTCTGTCACAGTGAAAGCTACAAGGCCAAAATCAAGATCATGGTAGGGCCTTGCTTCCTAAAAAGCTCTGGGAGAGGATGCTCCCTCCGTCCATCCAGCCTCCAGCAGCCCTAGGCATTCCTTGGCTTGTGGTTGTGTAGTGCCAGCCTCTTCCTGTCTTCGCCTGGACGTCTTTTTCTCCGTGTCCGTAATTGTGTCTCTTCTCATAAAGACACCAGTCATATTGTATTAGCACTAATGACTCCATTATAACTTGATTATATTTGAAAGGCCCTATTTCCAAATAAGACCACAGTTGTCACAGGTATCTTTTTGTAGGGCTTGGAGAAGCAGGAGATACAATTCAGCCTAGAACTCTGGGTACCGCAGGCTTTGAGCCCAGGCCAAAAAGATTACTTTAGGGAAGTGCTCAAGATTAGCACCAACCTTTGACTTTCACACTTACGCAACCAAGACAGGCGGAGTCAGGACAAGAAAAGGATGATGGCTTAGATATTTTAGTGATACCAGGTGCTCAGCAGTATGGGAGCTAGTTACTGGCACTGACACTTTGGGAAAATGTTTTGACAATAGAAAATCACAGAAAGTTCTTCGAGCCTGCCAGACATCCGTCATGAGAGGATGGCAATAGAAAGCTGGTGAAAAATGCAACCTTCCAAAACCCTGGGGTGAAGGGGTCAGGTGCACAACACTCACCTCTAGAATGTGCTTTATATGGCTGGGCTGGAATAGCAAATTCAGACAAACACTAAAATCTTCCCTCATCGGGGGAATAATAAAGAAAGAACAACAGTAGAGGCTGTAGTGAGGGATCATTTATTTTCCTACTGGTGCAGTGAGAATTCATGAAGAAAAACAATCTCTCCAAGAGGGTTTTGAGAGCATGAGGATGTAAGGAGGAGGTGCTGTCTTGCTGTCAAACCAAAGTGTCCTTAGTTGAAGGGACTGCGCAGATCTCATAGAGTTCAGAGGTTCTCATCCTGAGCTCCCGGGCCACCTGACACACCGAAAAAGGCCAGCAGCAGTGCACCACCAGCCAGTCCTCACACAAGGTGCCCTAGGGCAAAAGCAGGCTCTCTGATCTGTCCAAACCGCAACAGACTCACTTCCATTTCAACTTTAAAGTATCACCTGGGGGCTCATCCCACCCACTACCATTACCCTGAGTCTGCACATAGGACATGGGGCTGCCCAGCCGCTCAGTGCCTAAGCCATACCCACAATTCAGAGGCCTGCCTTCAAACTTTGGATTAGGGACCCCTTCTTGAAACCAATAATTTTTCCACTAAAATCTTGTGCCTTTTCCTCTTAAGACCCAAAAGTTATTCCTTTGACATAGGTAATAAGAGCAAGATTCACACAGTAAAGAGAGACAGGAAATAAAAAGTAAATCCTCCTTGACAGCTGGCCCTGGCCTTCCAGTTATCTGCCTCGGGGCAACTGTTGTATACTTCCAGATAAATTCTGTGTCCATATAAGCATATACATCATATATGATATATAATTTGTATGCAGATAGATGCATATTCTCGTGCCCTTTTTCTATTTAAAAATATATTATGCAATCATTCCTTTGAATGAATAAAGACATGCTGTTTTACTTTTGGTTTTTTGAGACAGGGTCTCACTAATTAGTTTAAGGAGACCTTGAACTAGAGGTATCTTCCTGCCTCAGCCCCCCAAGTGCAGAGATTATAGACATGAATCACCATTCCTGGAAAGAGATGCCTTTTTAAAACTGTCTACATCTTAATATGCATGACCTGTCTCCAAAGTTTACCTCACATTTGGTAAACTTTGTATAATTTGGTATAATTGGGTAAATTTTATATAATTGCATCCATTATCTTCTCTTGAAGTAATAAGAAAGAGGACAGTCTGGTTTTATTTCTGTAGGAAGAAAGTAATCTCTATTGCCTTTAGGAGTTGAGACTAATAAGTAACCTCCTCCCATACTGTTCATCAAAGCACATCTCAGGGTGCACAGTTTGGCCCACAACCTGGCCAAGCTCAAGCCTGTCTCTGTCACTCTGTCTCTATCACTCTGTCTCTGTCTCTCTCTGTCTCTCTCTCTGTCCCTTTTTCTGTCTGTCTGTCTCTCTCTCTCTCTCTCTCTCTCTCTCTCTCTCTCTCTCTCTCTCTCTCTCAAATCACAGGTTGAAAGCCATTTAGGTCCTCACAGACATCAAAGTTCACATGTACTTAAATATACTTACCTGTATTTTGTATCTCTCTCTGGTGCCAATTCTCAGGGCAAAGGTGGACCCAGGTAACAATGGCCAACAAAGACATTCTCCGTAATACCTGGCAATGTCACACTCAAGACACAGTGGACAAAACAGACCACAAAAACCTGTCGAGAACCATGTAAAAGAAAGGCAAGGTTGTCAGATGTTCAGGGAGCAACTCCACATCTTAAGTAACATTTTCAACTCTATGGAATCAATTTAATGTCCCACTATCTCCCAGTGATTAGGGACTGAGAATGAATAGCCAATTTACAAACTCAGCACAGTCAAACTGCCCTAACTGGACCACATCAAAATTGTCTCATTCAACACTGGCACAGCTGAACCTTATACAATTTTGTTAGCACTGACTATGGTAATTGCTTTTTCCCATCAAGAGAAACGTGTTAAATAATTTTTGAATCACAACTGTTGCTTCTCTTATGTTAATCTAATTTCAGCATTCAAAATAGGCACAGTATATAGGATATTCTAGAATAAATATTTTTAAGCATTTTTATAAATATAACTGGAGCTCTTTGCCGCATCTCCTGCAAGAATGAAGACCATTCTTAGCAATCAGACAGTCGACATTCCAGAAAATGTAGACATCACTCTGAAAGGACGCAGTTATTGTGAAGGGCCCCAGAGGAACCCTCCGGAGGGACTTCAACCACATCAATGTGGAACTCAGTCTCCTTGGGAAGAAAAAGAGGCTCCGAGTTGACAAATGGTGGGGAAACAGAAAGGAGTTGGCAACTGTCCGCACGATCTGTAGCCATGTACAGAACATGATCAAGGGGGTTACACTGGGCTTCCGTTACAAGATGAGGTCTGTGTATGCTCACTTCCCCATCAACGTCGTTATTCAGGAGAATGGGTCTCTCGTTGAAATTCGGAATTTCTTGGGTGAAAAATACATTCACCGAGTTCGTATGAGGGCAGGTGTTGCTTGCTCAGTATCTCAAGCTCAGAAAGATGAACTAATCCTTGAAGGAAATGACATTGAGCTTGTTTCAAATTCAGCTGCTTTGATTCAGCAAGCCACAACAGTCAAAAAAAGGATATCAGAAAATTTTTGGATGGTATCTATGTTTCTGAAAAGGGAACAGTTCAGCAGCCAGATGAGTAAGATCCAAGAGTTAATCCAGCCGCAGAAACAAGCTTCTGGATTGTAAAGCTAATCTGTTATTTTAATGAGACAATAAAAGATCTTTATTAAATAGAAAAAAAAATAAAAATAAATAAATAAATAAATAAAACTGGAATGTTTTAAGAGCACACTGATTCTACCTCCTATTCTTAACAGGATTTTATTTTATTTCTCAGGCCAGAAGGTTATTCCAATTTTTGTTCATTTCCTAGAGCCACTGATATGTGTCAGTTTTAATCAGCAGATAATTAGGGGCTTGGGACCTTGAATGTAAACTGGAAATAGTTTGTCATTTATTAGTTCATTCATCTTTAACTACTGAAATGGTTTCATATACATTCTGCATGAACCTTCTAATACAGAGGTTCTAAATAATGTTTTAGGCTGGCCAAATAGTTCAGTGGATTAAAGCACCTGCAAGCAGGTGCAGGAGCCAGGGGTTCAATCCCCAGGCCTGCCGTGCCACGGGGCACGCTGAGATGGCAATTGAGACTGGGCATGGTGGTGTGCACCTGTAATCCTAGCTCTTGGGAGTCTGTAAACAGGTGGATCACTACAGGTCCAATCTAATAGCGAGACCCTGAACACTCTGGGGTTTTTTGTTTGTTTGTTTGTTTGTTTGTTTGTTTGTTTGTTTGAGACAGGGTCTTGCTATGCTGTTCAGGGTAGCCTTGAGCTCACTTTGTAACCCAGGCTGGTCTTGAACTCACAACAATCCTCCCGCATGAGCCACCACACCCGGTTTAAATTTTTGCAATCTCTCTCTCTCTCTCTCTCTCTCTCTCTCTCTCTCTCTCTCTCTCTTTGGTATTTTAGGGAAGGGCCTCCAGGGCATTCAGGGTCTCACTACTAGATCAGACTTGTAGTGTGGATCACAGACCCTTGAAAATATAACATCAGATATGAACTTGCTTCATGAGGGAAAAGAAATGTACATGTACACAGGTATGCAAAATTACATATTCAATTTTATGAAATTCAAGGATCTATTGAAAACTACCAATGAACTACAGGTTAAGATCCCCTGAAAAAAGAGCATATATGCAAGCATTCAGGCCATGATGCAGCAAAAATACCAAACTAATCATAGTCTTTAAAGAATTGCTTTCAATAAATATTTTATTAAGGCAAATTTATATGTAAGAAAATGCACACATCTTAAGTGTTCAGTTGGGTGATTTCAACAATCATATTTGCCCAAGTAACCTTCATGTAGAACACTTCCCTCACTCAGAATTTCTTGAGCCCCTTCTGGGTCAATCTCACCCTCCCCCTACTCCTGAAAGAATCACAGTGCTAATTTCCACTCCAATAGATGAATTTTGCCTCTTCTTGGACTTTATGTAAGTGGAGTTGTATTTATTTTTATACCTAGTTTGTTTGGAATGCTATGTTTTAGATTAATATGTTATTATACAAATCTGTAGTTTTTCTTGTTGTTAAGTAGCATCATATTGTATGACGATTGCACAAAATACCCATTCTCTACTAATAGACAGTTGCTTATTCCATTTGTTGCTATTATGATTAAGACTGCTATGAATACCCATCTTTATGTGGATATACGCTTTCACTTTGCTCTCACTCCTCAAAGTAGAACCTTTTCCTTAGACCAAATGATGCTGAATGGATTAAATAGACATCCAGCTCCTCAAAGAGAGGCTGTTCCCTCCTCCTCACAGGTTTCAAGTCTTGTGAAGTGTAATATTGTACCCACTGTGTAAAACTGAACACATCCAGAGTTCTGGAGTGTCACCTGAAGGTTCTAAAATGAGAGGGTAGATATATATATATATATATATATATATATA